GAATCATTCAATTCTAATTGATCATTCAGTAAATTACAAGAATTACTGAATCTTTTGATATGTAAGCATTCTAGAAGATTGAGTTTGAAACTCTTCTCTTCTAAATGTAACACGTCACATTCATTATTGAACTCATGTCCTTCTGCTAAAAAGTGTTTTCCCAATGTGGAATTGGTCTTTCTATTTACAAAATTATTTCTGTTTCCTTTAATTCTTTGGGAAAATGTTCTCCCTGTTTGGCCAATATACAATTTTGGACAAGAACCACAAGTCAGCTTATATACTCCTGATCTATCCGACACCAAAGTTTTGTCTTTATTGTTTTAATAATAAATTTACTTAGACTATTATTCGTTTTGTAAACTACGTTTACGCATTCTCTCTTCAAAATTCGGGCAATATTAATGGTTAGTTCACCAAAATATGACAATGTCCTATAACTGACGTTATCGCATCTTGAATTCGAGTAGATAGACTTTTTGGAAATAATGGAGTCTATAATATTTACATTATAACCTGACTGCGATTGATTTGATCAAACTCAGCTCTCTCTGGAAACTACTCTCAGATAGTGAAATATTCAATAGTATGTGAAGCATAACTACTATTGAATATAGCAACTTTATGCTGGTAAGGGTGTATGAAGGAATTACGTATGATAATGTCCGTGTAAGATGGTTTGTGGAAAATTGCAAATTCATGTTTATTTTTCGTAATGGTTTAGTCAAAGTATTTTATTGAATTATTTACCTCGTTTTCAGTGGTGAATTTTATTGACGGGTGGATGGAATTGGCATATTCAATGGATTTGCCTAGTTGCCTATCTGTACCAGTTAAACAGACAAAATCGCTGCTACAATATTCCCAAATAAAATACAAGCCAGCGATTCGAAGACCCCGTTCGCTTTGAAGTTACAAAAAGCTAATCCGGCACTGTTCAACTGTGTTTCTATAACAACTTACTAACGACTTGTAAATTACGATAAATCCATATATTTCATTAGTACCCATTCTTCTCCTACTTCAATAAACATCAAACTTTTGTTACCGACCACAGTAGTAAGCGGCCGTCCTTGTTGTACAAACGGTTTGTTGTACATATTTTGTATCAGTTGATCAGTGCAGTTCTTGGGAGAGTAAAGAAACACATCGCCTATTGAGACGATCAGTGTTTACAATGCGGTGTTCTGTAATGTTTTGGATGTGTGCTTTTGATTTACGGTGGTGGTGATTATTCCGAAACAAAATGCTGGGATATATTTTTTTATTAGTTACTTCAATAATGGTAAGTACATATATAGGGAGGTTGAATCGGTTATAGCAGTCAGAGGCAGAAATATTATGCATCTATTTTTTTGGTTCCAGCTTTCCAAGTTATTATTGTGTCTTCATCGGGAACTGAAAGTGAGGTTGAAATGAAGCTATCATAAATGTAACATAGAGGATCCTCATATATGTATGTCAATAACAACTTTTTTTTATATGAATAATGTCTGACAACCGTTGTTTAGTTATTGCTATATCGCAAATACTCATAGGATCTGTTGAATTAGTCGGAAGTTGCCTATTTGGATTCACGAAAAAATCTTTCATAACGCGACCTTTCATCGGACATAAAAATGAAAATCAGATTGAGGGACTCTTTGTACTGTTTCATATCTGTTATGATCTGGTCTGAACCAGCTTTCAATGCGACCTTTCATTCATTGAATTCCTATTTGAAGTTTTCTTCAGAACAGACATCTAGTTTTTCATCAATCAGTAGTAACTATCACATCAATGGATGTAACTATTTATGGGTGTTCCTCTTCGAAAAAACATCGTTAATGTCAGGTCATACAATTCCATGTCCGAAATTATTTCATAAAGTAGAGACATATATTATCGGTCTAGAATGTCTCTTGAGAATTTGCAGATAGATATGAATACTGTTTAGGTATTCACAAATAATTATCACAAATATGACCCTGTGTCAAAAAACATATTTTGGGTGTTTTATTCATTCTGAATGCATCATCACAATTCGTTCAGTGAGAGATTTCTTCAAATGAAAGTTCAAATTTTCCATTGCAATCACACATATTTATGTTGGAAAAATCGAAAAATTGACATACTAATATACAAAAAGAAATTGACACCAAAATAAGTGGAATGCATTTTACTTGAATTTCTAAATGTGTTTTCCACATTACCTATATATCAATGTATGTTCAATTGTTTCTCAAACACATTTTCACTTTCACAATGGTATTTCCGAGTCAGGGTTGAAAAATATTCAGAGTTGACATAAGTCTTCATCTTCAAGTTCTAGGTAAGAAGAATAGTATTATCTGCCTTGTTACAATAGTGGTAACTGAAATTGTTGACAAAAAATAGATCATTGNGAGTTGACATAAGTCTTCATCTTCAAGTTCTAGGTAAGAAGAATAGTATTATCTGCCTTGTTACAATAGTGGTAACTGAAATTGTTGACAAAAAATAGATCATTGAAAGGAAATTGGTTCACACCAGATCACAACAAACATCGGCCAATTTCAGTTTTTTGCGAATATCTCAGAAAGAGCCATTGAGAGGCACATAATATGCTATTGTTCCTCCAAAATAATTAAGTTTAATGTGATTTGACTATCCTTGTAAGCCTTATTATTACCGAAATGGCAAAAGTCGAATCAGCTGAAAAAACAGTCTGTATAATTTTTGGGAAAGAAAGTTTTTGGCTTTCTACTACTCCATCTTGATACAGAAAAAAGGATGAGGGAATCTTCCAAAGAAAGAAAGGAAGTAATCAATTTGAAAATAAGTAACTCTATACATGGATCTGTAGATCATGCTAAGAAGTAAGTTTCAGACACAAACTGAAATAATTTGATACTGAAGAGCCTTGGGGAAGTGTCTTAAGGCGATACATCGATGTATATCAGTGAGGATGACAGTGTTCCATGTAAGTGCAATTTGTTACCATTCATTCAAAGTAGAACTCATGTGAATGATATCTGATTTTTACTTCTTTGCATGTTCTACACATCCATGTATAGAGTTACTTATTTTCAAATTGATTACTTCCTTTCTTTCTTTGGAAGATTCCCTCATCCTTCTTTTTTTTTGTATCAAGATGGAGTAGTAGAAAGCCATAAACTAAATTAATCACTCCTAAAAATATAACCCCTTCAATTCAAGTCTGTATAAGATCCAACATATATTGCGAGTCTGTTCATTTTTGATTTTGTGTTCTACCTATTCATATCTCACGATCAAACGTGTGATTTTGTTTTTCATTGCCCCAAGTTCATTTATATTGATGATTTAATATACATTTTCACCAAAATGTTTACTGGTGAAATATTTGACATTTAGAATATAGTAGCGACCCACTCCGGTATGTATTTATATAAAACGTTCACAGCTTTTTGTCAGTAGACAATACAAACATGTTTTATTTAGAGACTACTCTTGCAAGAGCGACATATACTTTGATTACTTTGGAAAACAAAATTTCCAATGAGGAACAGTATGATCCAGAAATTCACAGGGTCATTGCACAAACTGTAATTTCAGACTGTTGTGGAATATACATATCTGTGGTATTTGTGATTGACTAATGTATCATTTTCTGAAATGAGTTGGACAATTCGTTAACCAGTCTCTGCAGTTAGAATTTATTTTAGGTAAATNGACCAATTCCACATTTGCAAACCATCTTTTAGCAGAAGGACACGAGTTCAATCATGAGTACGAGGTGTTACATTTAGAAGAGAAGAGTTTGAAACTTAATCATCTAGAATGTTTAGAAATCAATAGATTCAGGAATTCGGGTAATTTACTGAATGATCAATTAGAACTCAATAACTCTCCGTTACTGAATATATTTTTTCAAATGTGAAAATGGAACATAAGTGCAGGTAATTTAATTCGTTAGAAACTCAGGTAAAATATCAGCTACTTAAAATTCAGGTACTTCGTTTACAGGTACTTTGATTTCAGGTACTCCATAAACTATATATATATTTAGTATTGAATGTGTAGAATTAGTTGAAAGACACGCCAGATGAAGCCATTGTATGGCGAAACACGTGTTGCGTTTTTGTAAAACAATTTAGTGAAAATCTCACAATGAAGTGTTTTTGGAATACGTTAGTTATGGATTTTCATCAAGTATCGGCCGATTCCATCATATATCTTATGTAGATGTTGCTTCTGCAAAGAATTATAAACAACTAAAATTCGAAGTGGTGCAAAAACATTTATTTCTCATCCTTCAGAGTTTTGCTCAGACGATAGTCAGTGGGTTAGCGTGAGTGTTTCTTTCTTTTCACTCAAACAATCGCTAGGTGAACATTGGCATGATCCTAACTCTAGAACGATCGAAAGATTAGACCTCGCACAAGTTTCGATGTTTATTCTTGTCAAGGATGACCGATGATCAGCTGGAAAGCACATTTTGAAACATTAAAAATTTTCTTCAACTTGCTGATATTTGGAGAGTTTCTTTTGTATCTACCCGGAGAAAGATAATTCTCATGAGCAAATGTCCACAAGGTCTAAACTTTCAACTACTGGGTGCTAAAGTTAAAACTTTTTTAGCGGTTTTATTTAGCTTTTCTTGTTTGATTGTATGTTTATTTATTTGCTTGGGTCAAATTTAGTAATTGAAGTTTGATCCCCTTCCTGTTGACAGATTGATCTGAAATTTGGTACATACAGTTGGTTTTGATGACAATACATTGCAATAAATTCTGGTTCATTTTTAATCCCAGGTAGCGGCAGCTATAAAATGGCGGTTCAACTATTGTTTCACAACTACCTTAATATGTTTATCAACTAACAGGGCTTGACTAGTGAAAAAGTCGTACCTACACTTCGAAAAAGACGCAAATTCAGCAGCTACAAAATGGCTGATAACATATTATTCACAACTACCTAAATATGTGTATCAAATAACAGGGCTTGACTAGTAAAAAAGTAGTAACTGTACACTTCGAAAAAAACGCAAATTAAGCAGCTACAAAATGCTGGTAACATATTTATTCACAATTACCTCAATATGGGTATCAAATAACAGGGCTCGACTAGTACAATAGTAGTACACTTTGAAAAAGATGCAAATTCAAAATAGCCGTAGCTACAAAATGGCGGATCACTTATTACCTTGTATTACTGAGGTACTAAATGCACTAAATAAAATGAGAAGAATTGTGTACTCAACAAAATTAGAAACTGAAAACATGAAAATAGAATTAGTAGATACATTTTTATGTCAAACGGTTGCATTGAAAAAAAAAATAATAATGATGTAGATAATGTACTAAAAACTAGAAAATAATTCGTAGCGTGAGTAAATATGTAAATACTACGCCCAACGATTCGATTATGTTTTTATCTGATCAATACCGTAGATTGCTCAGAAGAATGGTGTGATGACTGTTACCTAGGACCTTCTGAATTATTTTTCAGTACATTATCTACTTTTTTCAGTTCATTGTATGGTTGAAAAAATAAATTTGTTAATTTATATGAGTCTATGTATTTGGGTATTCTCAAAGTCAAATGTCTAGGAGGTAGGAAGCAGATTTGGACTTGAGGTCTCATATTATCTTTCATAAAGTTCAAGCATATCCGTTCTGAAGCATGAATTTTATGTCTGGGATAGGTGTGACTATTATATTGATGAATTCGTGAAGTTAATTATTTTAAAGTTTGGATTCATCATAAAATGTAATCAATTTTGTCAGGATCAACTTGAGAGACAAACAGTGGAAAATGTACATGTTGAATCTGTTTGAATATGTCGCTGCCCTACGAACGACAACTCCCAAAAGTCGAAACTTGTGCGAGTTAAGGACTAACAAGGTATTACCTTTCAACGTGTGATTCCTAACCCGGCATGTACATCATTATAAGTTTCAAAGAGGTCATTTTCCAGAGGCTTTCAAGATGTCATGAAAAAAAGGTTCAAATTGGGTTCATGAATGTTTCTTCAATTACTATATATTACATATTGATTTGAATACTAGAGATGATGTGATCAATTCGCCCTTTGTACCTCTCTCATTCTTTACTTTCCAAAAATTGCCTGGTATTCGTTATAATCGCAGTGTCATTTTAAAAATATTTATACTGGGCTGTCTATCAGAAACAATATAATTTTTCAGTTCCATGAACCATTCTTACAAGTGAACGCACAACTAGTATATACAAGGGACATTGTTAGCAAGGGGAATTTAGGATGGATCTGGCTCCATCCTAAAACTCGCTTCGGGCCGGCACTGGCTAGCCGATATATAATAA